GTGCATGACGGCGATACTCAGGAATGGGCTCCCGGGGAAGGTGCTTCGAACGAGAGACGTCATGAGTTCAGTGAGGTCACTGAGATGCCTCGTTTTCCCATGTAGGCCACTCTTCACTCGGACATAGAGACCCAGGACTACAGTCTTGGCGTTCAGGTCCCGCAACTTTTGATCTGCCATTTCACGGGCGGTCTCGGTAAGTTGCATTGAGGCTCCATCGTCGCCCATGTTGGGCGGACTGCAGGTCATGGCGGCAGCTTAGATCCTTCTGCGGGAAGAACACTAATTGCAGCGGCATCGGCACATGCGGGCGCTGGGCAAAGGCGGGGAAGGGGGCCTAAACCAAAAAGCGGGTGGGTGAGGAAGGAGGCCAAGAGGCCCTTACACTCGAGGAAGATTCCAGGCATGTATGCAGTGAGTCTGTCAGGGAGGAAACCATCCTGCGAACAGTCATTCGTCAGTCCCTAATCAAACCATGTGCAGTCCACCATGCAGTGGCATCAAGCATCAGGGAAGGGCGCGGGCCTGGGGCATGGACACGGGTTCTGGGGGTCCCCCCGGCGTGCTGGGGGCGTCGGGTGCTTTGATTCTTGTTTGGGGCAAGGTTGGGTGCGCCGTGCAATGCAAGTTGGTTCCCGCTTGCCCACGGAGGATCGAATTTGTCCAGAAACAACTTTTCAAGTTTAGCCCACGCGAGCCTATCAGAGGCGGCTATCCACCATTGTGCTCCTGCAATGGACCCGATTTGCCGTTCTGGGTCGCGATCAGGGTTGTGGTGGCCGACGTGTCTCACGCCTCGGGGATAGTCCCCCGGCGGGATAGCTTGTTGGTCCCGCCACCAGGAGAGGTCGCGCCAACGCATGATATGAAAAGTAGGCGCGAAGGGGGCGCGGCCAATGTGCCCCCACAATCCCCACATCAGGTGGAGCGCATGGGATGACCATCTTTGCATTTTGTGTTGGTGGAGGAGAGCTCTGGCTTTCCTCATAGTGCGGATGTGCCATTCGTTCCATGCTTCAGTGGGGCTTCGCTTCCCCGTCGTCATCGCTCTGACTTGCAGGAGTTGGACACTGTTTGTGGCCTGAAGGAGGGAGGCATTAACAGGCCAGGCGGGACATCCCCAAAGCCCCGCTCCGCGGACAAGGCACTGGTGCATAAGCAGGCGCTCTTTGATGGGGGCACGCGAACACAAAAGCTTCTTGTGCTGCTGGAAGGCACGCCTGGCACGTCCTTGCATCTCGGCAATGATAGGGGCAACTTCCCCTGCCATGTTGATGGGGGCTCCAAGGATGGTCATGATGGTTTGGGGGCCATCGGGTGCAACAACTGCTTCGCCTATTCGGAAGCGGAAGGGATCATCTTCCAGGTTGGAAATGACTTGGGTCTTCTTAGGATTGATACGCAAGCCGAGCTTCAAGAGCTGGCGTTCGAGTTCAGCAAGGACGTCTTGCACGTATTGGGGAGATTCACCCCATATGTAAGTGTCGTCCATAAACGCGGCACCGGAATGAGGAGGTGGGCCAAGCGCTTGATGGCGTCCCACATGCGGGGGGGCACCCCCGTTAACAGCATTTAGTGTGGCATCAAGTGCTTCGCCGATTTGAGCTGCAAAAAGGACTGGACTATCGGGGCTACCTTGCCTCACCCCGTTCGTTTGGGGGGTGTCAACTTGATGCTTTTGCACATGGAAGTGCAGTTCACGTGCTTCAAGAAGGCTGAGCCACAGGCGTGCTTCCCACGGCATACCTCCCGCCTTAGCGACCTTGCGAACAACCAAACTGCCTAGCTGCTCCTGCGCTATCGAGTCGAAGGCCTTCGCTATATCAATTTTCACTATATAGAAAGGAGACTTCCATTCATGTGCCACTCTAGCAAGTTTGCGTAGCGACAACACCAGCTCGACACCTTGTTTGCCTCTACTCGCCCATTGGTGCATACAACATGTTTGGAGGGAGGGCACCCCCCTGTGCAGGAGCAGTTGCGAAATCCATTTCAACACCGCACTGGAAAGTGTAATGGGGCCTGGTATCGGACCAGTTTGCAGGCTGCACACACTTGGGTAAGAGTACCGACGCTCCTTGCATGGCTGCAGGGGGAAGGCATCCCCTATAAAGGCTATCGTTGAGCATCTCGGCCAGTTTGGGTTGCCAACGGGGATGGTCAAACATAAGGCGAAGAGCTTCAAGGGCCATGGTGATCCTCATCTCTGCTTCACTGAAGGGTCGCCAGGTGCAGTTTTTGCACAAGCGCTCTGTTTCCGCATGGAGGAGTTGCATTGCACTCCTGGTTTGCGAGGCAGGGGCACGGCAGAAAATGGAGGTCATGTGTACGGAGTTTTTCGGACCAAGCAGGGTCATCAAGGAGCCGGGCGGCCCAGTTGGAGTTGGCGTTCTTGTGCTTCAGGGCCCGGAGCGCAGACCAATCTAGCTGGCCCGCCCTATCGGCAAGGCTCTGTTTCCAGCAGCGACGCTCTTGTTGGAGGGTGCGACGGATTTGCTTCCAGGCACACTTGGCGGGAGCCCCCGCTTCTGCCTGCCTGGCGCATCGCCGCAACTTCTTGAGTTCGGGGCTTTCACGGAATTTGGCTGATCGGTTAGCTGGCCTGGTGATGGCTTTTGCGACTTTAGCCGTGAGCGCATGCAAGTCCCCCGGTTCAGTGGGGAGGGTATCAAGGAGATGGTCGCATCCTGGCTTAAGCTCTCTGGCACACCAAATGACTTCATGCTTAGGGCCAGGTTGTACAATAACCGCGGCCTCGCCTAGGATGGGCTCATGGTCAGATGAGGCACGGTCGCGGTGGTTACCCACCTTGGCATTTAGGGTCTTAACCCCTTTGGTCACAAGGTAGTCCAACCTGCGGGCAGAGAAGGCGGTATTGTAGGGGAAGTAGGAGGGCACTTCAACTTCTTGCAGGGGGACTGTGAGGTCATGTTCAAGGAACCACTGCAGAATTTGCTCCCCTCTGCCCGTGCACGAGAGAGTTGTATCCTCCAAATCACCCCCCGGCTGCAAAAAGGTTTCGTTGGCATCCAAACCGAGCATCACTTTGCTTGAAATGAGACATGGGGCTGTCCCCCAGTCTGAGAGCGCCTGGGCCGTCTGTGCAATGGTGAAGCGGTGCGAAACATGGCCTGATATAAGCCCTAGGGCCCTCCGCCCATGCAACTTCAGGACGGTGGAAATTGCGGCTTTGTGAAGACGAGTGGATTCATGAACCCCTAGAACCTTAGCGAAGGCAATCCCACACCCCCTCCATTCACTCTCCTGTTTGCCGTGAAGCAGCGTCCACTCCTCATTGTGGTCGAAATGAGGTCCTCCTTTAGTGGTGATCTCTTGGAGAAAGACCACTTGGAGGTTCGTCAGTGCGGGTTCACCCCGAAATCCGGCGAGCAGGTCCAGAGTAGACTCCGGGCTATGACCGCCCAAGTTCCAGGTGCCGAAGTGTAAGGGGGCAGCTTCATCTTGAGGCTGCATGGCAGTGCGGTGAAACGGGAGGGGAAAATCCCCTTTCTCCAGAGCTGTGTCCAATCATTTGAGCGCCGCTTGCAGCGGCTCCCACACCTTGTCCAGCTGGGCTTTGTCGACGCCCAGAAGGGTAGCGATTTGTTGCAGGTCAATCCAGCCGCATCCGGCAGGGATAGACCCCGTGGGGCCAGCCGACGTCGCCGAACTTATCTTCTGGTTTCGGAACCAAACTGTTCCGGTGGCCCACTCCGGCTCGATGCTGTGGAGGGTGGAGGATCCACCTGCTTCAATGATGAGGCGCTTGACCTTGCCTGCCAAGGCGGCTCGCCGTCTTCGCTCGGGGGGCTGGCTCACTGTCAGCCAGAGCTTCGCCGGGTTTCCGTCGGGCTTACGCCCGAGAGCGATATTGGAAGCATTGACTCTGCGTATACATGCCTGAGCTCGCTGGCGCATTGCCTCATCACTTTCTCCGTCGTTCGGGTGGAGGGGGATGAGCACGAAACCTCGCCTGACTCCAGGCACGAATGCCTCGGACATGTTGATCTGGAGTTGCAAATCCCGAGCCATTTCATTCGCCTTTTGCAGGACTTCACTTGCTGGCGTATCTGGGGCCCAGCCCCCCATGACCAGGGCGGGGACTCGCCCCGAATCCACAGTAGAGGGCGTGCTGCCATTGGACTGGATGTTCTTCACGGTCCCCTCGAGCTGCGTGAGTCGGCCAGCGAGGAGCTTCGAATCAGTGGCCAGCTCCGATATACGCAGCCCTTGCTCTGCTTGTCCGGTGGAAAGAGTCTCCACCGCTTGGAAGGTCCTTTCATTGTGCTGCTGGAGGTTCTTTTCGAGAGCGGCAACCCTGTCAGACATGCCCGCGACGGCGCCCTGGATCTCAACTCTCACCACATCACGAATGGCTTCAAGGCTCAAAGCTTCTTCCTGAATACCCCTTTTGCGGTGCGGGGACTCAGTTTTGGCTGCACTCTGCACTTCCATAGCATCGCTCATGGCTCACCTGGCAATCGATGTCAGGGGGTCCCCCCTTTCGAGCAAGTAGGAGTCCTGTAGTTTTCGCCGATTTCGTAGCGCTCGCGAGTGTCAAAGGTCGTAAGGTCCAGGCCAGGGCAGCGGTCACCGAAGGGGTCCGTCCCCGACTATGTCGCCGGCGACAGCGATCACGGGGAAGAGCGCAAGGATATTGATGACGCCCTTCAGCAATGCTGACAGAAGAAGAGAGAGCGGAGAGAAGAGGGCAGGCAGGTTGTCCCAGTGGGGGGCTGCGAAGTAGAAAAGAGTTCAGGGCTCACAGAGGGCCCCCCACGGGCTTGAACCGCTCACGGCTTGAGCCAAAATGGCTACCTCTCTCTCTCTCTCTCTCTCTCGCTCGCTCACAAATCACGGCTTAAGCACCAACTCGACACCAACCGAATGCTAAGGTCAGGATGCCAACATATGCCAACCCTGGAACTCAGCTCAACACTTGTCCATAAACAAAATCAGCAATTTCTCCGCAAACAGGCTTCCAGCACATGGGAATGAAGTTACATTGGGAGCAGCAAGAGCATGTCTGCAGACGAAAGGCGGCGCGCACAAGCTAGCCGCAAGATCGAGCCAACTCGTAAGCCTCCACCACTGTCCTCGACTAACCAGCCATGGGTGCAGTGCACATCGATCCACAGCTTCACCTACACTTCACTTCTCCCACCAAGCTTCGACGATCAAGTGCTGGTGCATCGGCCAGGACGGGCAGTCTGGAAAACAGCGCCTCGAAAACTGACAAAAAGAGACAGAGAGAGACAGACAGACATACAGACAGAGCGAGACAGAGAGAGCGAAAGCGAAAGCGAGAGGGAGATACAGACACACACACACACACACGAGAGAGAGAAAGAAAGAGCGGGACGAGAGACATACGGTCACGCGTACACACAAAGACACGGAGACGCACTGGCACACATAGACACGCATGCAATTGCGTGACATCGGTACATAATGGCGTCAAGAGCATGTGCAACGTGTGTAGCCAAACCCTCATGTCGGCGGCCCTTGCACTCCTGGCCTGCCTTGTGCCTAACAGAAAAGTTCTGTAAACGGAAACACCTTGCTATGGCACAGGCTGCTGCAACCGTGCATGTGATGAAAACAAACTTGGAACTGATAGTGTCGCCCCAGCTGACACCACTGAGCTGCAGGTATGAACTTCGAAGCTTCTTCCACTGAATCGCCAATCGCTTCGTTGAATAGGCTAGGCAAATAAACTCCGGCCCCCCGTGTCACTTCTTCAGGAGAGACTCTCTCCAGTATGTATGTCCGACTTGGTCTCACGCAACCACACACCCACATATAAATACACACACACATGCGCATATTTATTTATATATATATATACATACATACATATATATATATACATACATATATATATATAATTATATATATATATATAGAGAGAGAGAGAGAGTTGTATACATACATGGTTAAAGGCTATAACCTATACACGTGTGAATACATATACATATACTTTTACAATTTATGTGTGTGTGTGTGTGCGTGTGGTGGGAGGGTGTGCGTGTGCAGATGCGTGCGCGTGCGTGTGTGTGTGTGTCACATGTCATACATTCACACATGACATCGCATGACTGTGTGTGTATATACATACATGACGATGCATGTACTATATGCACAGTTTTCAGACAATGTGCACGAGGGGAGCACGTGTTCAAGCACCAATGCCAAGCCGCAACATCAACGATGTCCATGTCCCGTCGACACATTCCTCGCTGCAACATGTGAGGCGTGTGGATACATCACATCATTAGAGGCAACGTATGAAGTGCCAGCGTCAAAGACTGCAGTGCGATTTCCACAGGCTCAAAGCTTGTAAATTGAATGCTGGTTAATTAGAGGAGGATGCAGCTGCTGAGAAGGCTGGTGTGAGCCCCTTTCTCGCCAAGGCGCAGATTCTTCGATCAGGGCGGACACACCTGACAAACGACGGAGCTGAGGCAACTGGCAAGGACAGTCAGGCCATGATATCTGAAACATGGCCATCAGCTGAAAAGTGGGGCCTCGCAAGCTGGCAGCAGATCTGTTGAATCCAATGGGCGGCAAAGCCGAGAAGCCTGGCCGCGAATGAGCCTTGAGGCTTTCGACTGCGCCCAAGCCTTGCACGAAAGCCCCGGATACAGGACCGTGCCACATAAACGAATAAATGCATGTGGCAAACTCCTCCAGTGCATCGCCCTGTATTCAGCTGACAGCGTCGTATCTCAGAAGCCCTGCCGTATCCCATAATGTCCCACGTTCGCATCCGTCCTCTCGCACAGGTTGCCAGCAATTGCGTTCCGTGAGGAACGCTGCGATTTCTCTGCGACGCCAGGGCTCCAGGTGTCAAAACCTCAGGCGTGCACTGAGCAGTCTTGGATACCTTGACAAAAGCGCCCCCTGCTCTTTGCATGCTCAGCTGACCCAGTCTCGAACTCTTCGGGCCCCGAACACCCAGGCCAGACACCCTAAATCTGTATTTAGTAACGTAGTACGAAAACAAACAAGACAACGTTTCGGCACAGACGTCTCATCAACATGCGTTGAGCCTTTTGCGGCATAGATGGTAAATCCCTTGGTCAAGTCACAGAATACTCCGGCCCTGGGACGAAGGCCTCGCAGCGAGCGAAAGACGGAAACTTACGGAGTGGACGGTGTCAACGTCAGGCCAATCGCCGAAACCGTCGGGGCCGAGCCCTAACTCAGACCATGCCAAGACTGCACAGCAAAGGGCGCTGCAAAGCTGAAGCCCCGAGCAAAGCCTGACAGTCGCTGAAGCAGCGCAGATCAGAGGGAATCCAGCGGCCGTTCGCACAGGTGACCTGCATGACACCAGCCAAATTTACACACTCCTTGAAGAATCCGATTAGGGCAGACGGATCCTCTGTAGCACTGCCGACCAACTCAGCTTGCATGCTTTCATAGGTTTTCATCGAGCCGCAGCGCCGCGCTTCATCGCTCGCTCACTATCTTCGCCTTCCCCATGTTCCAGCTTGCCTCACGGTTCAGTCCAAGGCGTATCCTATGCACTCTTCAATCGATTACAATTTCGTGGCACTTTTGCAACTTACCCGTCTTTACCGCACCCACGCCAGGCCTCCGAAGCTTCTTGATTTCGACACGCAAACTTGCAAGCTTCTTTAATTGGAGCATCTCGGCACGACCCCTAACGACGCTTTACAATCTTTGCGCTCACGTTGCACCTTCGTTCAACTTGCATATGCCCAAATCCTGCTCCTCTTCATGCGATCCTCCTATGACTTTATGCCTTTATGTATCTCAAGTTTAGGCTTCTTCAAGCGCTTGACACGGAACTTATCTAACCTACATAAGCCTCCTGCCCTCCGTTCATGCCGTAAAAACCTGAACGATTCTCAGCGCCACCGAGCCACAACCAATGATCACCTTGCTTCCTGACGGACACACACACACACACACGTGCGGGATATCATCCAACGGAATCGAGAAAATTTGCGAAAATTGTTCAATTGATGCCGGAGTGTCCATGCGGGGCGTCTGCAGCAGTCGCTGGAGCAGAGGGCTCCAAAGACTCACCATTCGGTTGAGACATGTCCCGGATCACCCGGAAGCCTAGGTGTCAGCGCGAGAAACCGACGACTGAGCTGAGTCGTAGCCGAGGGCGAGGCAGGTGCAGATCCCCAGCTCCCACGAATTCGCAGAGCGATGGAGCTGGAGGTCATAAAACACAGCCCAAGAGAGGCTGTAACGAAGTTAGGACTTGCCCATGCCCGTGTGCCCGCCATCGGTACTGCCACCCCATGACCCTGGACTCGGTGTGGTACAAGTCAACGACGAACTTAGACACAGAAGCTGGGCCTGGATTGGTTGATCGCGAAGTCGGCTAGGGTCGGTCTCGGAGAGCTGGATATGTGCAGCCCCACCAGCCGCAAAATTGAAAGTTCAGGTCTTGGGGGGTCATGTGTCGAGCTTGTATTTGGGAGGTTAACAACCAAGCCTTCATAACTTCAGAACCCGAACAAGGCAAATACTACAGTCGCCCTTGGCACAGAAGAAGCTAAAGTGTCGTGGGGTCTCGTCAAACTAAACTATATAGTCCCAGCAACGCGATTGCTCAAGAACTGTGGCATTGAACGGCTTGCAATCCTCAGTGATACCGCAGTGCTTGTGGCACTTCCGAAGTTGCAGGCTTCAACGCGTCTATGGCAAGACGATGCAGCCACATCACCTTTGCACAGTACAAGGACAAAGGACTCCACTGTCCATCATTGCCTCAGTCAGCAATGTCACGTGCTTCGCATGCGCCCTCCGGCGCCACCGTAAGTTGGCATGCACCGTGAAGCTTTGCCTTGCATTCCTCCCATCATACAACTCGCAAAATGATCCGGTACCAAGGTGCACTCGACCCGTTCCACAGCTCCCGGGACGCGACCGTAGCCGTCCACGCAGCGGATGCCAATATATGTACCTTGATAGTCCGGCGAAGAGAGGTCAGTCAATCGCTTCTTGTACTCGCACGTCGGCGACTGATGTTGAACCTGTCACACCCGTTGTGCAGCCAGGTTTCTGTGTGGCACCCCCGTGATGTTGCTCTGCATGCGCCGGACATCATCCTTTGAAGCAAGTGTCTGTTGCTACAGATTCCGTAGTCGGCTTGCACCTCTGTTTGCTCTTGTCTGCTCTGGGACCAGGCATGACCAGGCATTCAACGTGTCTCTGGCTGGGGGTTGCGACAATGACAAGGCAACACTAGTTGAAGTTGACAACTCCAAGCATGGTGCCGCATGCCGCAGGTTCTGCTTGTGCTTACGTGCGCTCTACCTGCTGAGAATACGACCAGTGCAAAGCTGCTCAATGTCTCCGTCTCCTGGGGCCATGCACAGTGTTTCAGCCCATCTTTACAGTGGCCACCACAAATTCAGGCAGCTATGTATGCTTTAAACCCAGGCTCAGATCCTGCTGCACCAGCTGGGAATCGGCAAACAACATGACTAAATATCTCTGTGTCATGAAACAGGCATGATGGCATGTGCACAGGATTGCAAAGGCAAGTCTGCATAATCGCTGCCGGTGCCCCTCTCAGGTCCATGGTGAACATGCGCACAGCAAGAAAACACCGCTGCCTCCAGGATCGATGCTGCAACATACTGGGCATCTGCTTCACCTGCCCAAGGAGGTGTGTGAGCGACCTGCATGGCAGTCGCCTTAGCCCTCGAACGCTCTCGGCTGAGGCGGGAACCGACCACCTCGTAGCCCTCGGACAGCTTGTAGCGAGGGCAGTCTGCTTTGCAGTCCTAGATCTTGCGGGAACGGCGGAAATGCCGAAGAAGTGCGATAATCTGCTTGCGAACTTTTAAGCAGAACTAAGCGAGCTATGACCACTGTGACTGGAATTTAACAGGCAAGAAGCTGGAATGTCTTCGAGTCCGCTCCAGCTTCCTTCTGCCTGCACATGCCAAATTCGGTAAACACGTTCAAAATTCAAGTGGACGGGGCCGCTACAATGTGACCCTGGCGCAGTGCTTAGGCTCTGGCGCATTGTAGTTGCACCGGATGCTGTGCTTGGCCCGATGCATATCCTGTGGGGCCGTGGCAAGAGCTGGGCAGCATCAAATGCGCAGCTACAGAGTCGGCATTGAGAGCTCCTGCCGCACAGCTGATATGCCACCTCAATCAAGAGATTCTGCAGAAGTGTCAAGCAGAAGTCTTCCCATTATGAATTAGGCAACGTCACACGAACATGCATTCCTCATTTAAGGCCATCGCACTGAACCCTTCTGGGCAATGTTGTCACCCTCGCTGCTGCCATTGACCGCCTGCACGCAGACATTAGTCGGCAGCTGGACTGCCATGTGCGATCCACGGTGTAGCAACCAGACGTGCTTGCCCAGACATGTACGACGGTCGATATAGATAGAGAATTTGCGCAAAGACTTCGAATCAATCTCTTTCCGCCGCAGAGCCCTCGAACCCAGGCCCTGAAAATCGACCAAAAGCCGTTATCGGCCAAGAACCAGGCCCTCCGTGGCCCGGGCATATGCGCTGGTGAGCTCTGGAGTCACGCAATCTCCGGTGCACACCAACCACGGAGTGGTCCATGCCCCGTCCTGCCGAAGCCAGGGCACCAAGGCGTCGTGCGACACCCTTCCACCGAATTCTGTTCTTCGAGGCTGACTTGGAGTTGCTCCTGGCAGATGACCGATGCGGAAGATGGTTCTTCCACAGAATCCATATCGTCACTCTCGCCTCAACGCAGGCTTCGCTGGAGGTGTGGAGATGCGCGGAGCTTGCAGCCACAAGACCACAAGGCCCTCGCTGCGTTTGCACGTGATCTGCCGTGTAGATCCATGCTGAAATCCGGTACCTATAGGTCCAACGAAAGGCGCTGCCAGACAACTTGGGCGTTGCATGACATGTTTGCGGTTCTGCTGGGGCCCCGCGCCATGGACTTCATACCTGCGAAGCAAGCTAATTCAGCAATCAGCCTTTGGTGGCTCTCAGCACACTTCACACTTCAGTTGCACACATCATGTCCTAGATTTTTTTGCAACTAAGCTTAGTCACAGCAACTTTCCTCGCGTCTCAGTCTGATCTGCAGCAGAAGCAGCTTCCAGGATGCTGCCACGAAGGCAGGGCAGCTGCGACCACATGACACCGCCAATGGTGACCACTGGCCATCCTCCAAAAATGGTTCTAATGAGTTCCAATGGCTCTACTCCGGTTCCCCGCAATGGAGCATTGCTCTCAGCGGTGCCGCTCCTGGCACTCGGACTCGACAAGCCTCACATCATCGACGGTTCCATAGCCCGCCGCGCAGGTGACGTAGACTTTATTGGCCTGGGCTGGGTGGTCATGCGACGACGAATGACGAAGAGCTTGAACAAGATAGACAACACATGACTTCTGGACTGCTCTTCCTCTTCTCATCTCTGGCCGAACACCCCCCGGCGCACACAAAACTTAGAGTTGCTTGCTAATCCGAAAGATCTCCCCTGCGCATTGGAGCGTGGTTGTAAAGTATGTACACGCTGGTAGCTCTTACTCATGCATCCTGCTGCTCATTCCAAAAAGTTGCCGCGAGTTGCCGTTTCTGCATCGACATGCCACATGGGGAGATGTGACACGCCGTGCCTACTTGTTCCACCTTGTGGTGTATTGACCTCAAGACTTGTCGTCGAGCTGAGCAGCTTGGACTAAATCAGTTTTCCCCAGCAACATCACGTGCAGGACGTTGCAAGTTGGATGTATGAAACATTGCGGAAAAACAACTATGGCACATGGGTGGCTCGAGACGGAGCTTCCCTGCTGTTACGATTGTTGGCGTTGACATCGCTCCCTTCAGGACTCGAAGTCAAAGAATTGGGCTTGTCACTATAGGAAAGTAGATGCGTAGAGGTCTGAGCTGAAATTTTGTAAACCTCTGGAGAAAATCCTCACGGGCAAATCCTCTAGGTGCAAGTGTTTCACGTGCACCACCATTGGTCCGTCGTCTCCCAGGTTCTCGGATTAGGTGGCACAACACTCGGAGCTCTGGGCAACCAGTCCCACGGATCACTCCTCGCATTATGGCTCTCATTCCTTTCAGTTGTCCCCGCATTCACGAGCCCGGCGTTGTTTGTGGTGTTCTCGCCACCGCCACACTCTTCATCAGGCCACCCTTCTCGACACCGTCACAGCCGTCCAGGCGTACTTGTTCCCCCCCCCCCCCCCCCCCCCCTAGTGTAGTGGTACTGTGGCAGCGGACACTCTTAGGGCTTTTGGGACGAAGGCGAGGCTGAGGAGCACGTCTCCCAAGTCGAGCTGCAAGGCGAGGCTCCTGCAATTTGGGTCCCCCGGCTCGATGTAGTTTCTCGGACACTGCCGCGTATTGGTATGGCGTTAGCCCTAGGCCCTAGGCCATTACTTGTTACTTTGGAATTTCAGCGAATCCCCCGGCGGCACAGGACAGGGGCCTCGTTGCCCCATTCCCCCCTTGAGACTGCGAGGCCGTCGAAGTTGTCGATGACGTTGAGCACTTTGAGCCAAAACTTAGAATGGCTACGGGGATCGCTCGCTTGCTTGCTAGGGGTGCAGGGGTTGCGGACAACCCCTTGGCCCAAAGGCCTACCCCACTCGGCGCGCTCCGGTCCGTCTGAATGACCCCTTTCGGGGTGGGAATTTTTGCGCCTTCCCCTGAGCGTGCCTGTGAGCGCTCTCTCTCTCTCGCTCTCTCTTTCTCTCTCTTTCTGCGAGGCTTAGGGGTCGTCCATGCGACCCGCAGGCCATTGGCCCGCCCGACCACCCGCTGTTTTATGGAGTGGCCGGCCGTGGCAACAGAAGACAAAGTCTGCCCCGTGCCTCATGCTGCAAGCCCCCGACCCTGAACTTTAGGAACCTCCCCGCATCCCGGCCTCATCGCCGTGCCCCTATAGCAACCACTCGTACTTACGGGCTTGCAGTCTCTCAACACATTGGTATAGCTCCCATGCATGGGAGGCATGTGTGGAGGCCCCCTAGAGCAACAGTTACACTATGCTAGAACCTAGAACGAGCAACAGTATGAGTATTTCCTCCCCTGTTCGGGCCTGGGCATCGTTCAGGAGGGAACGTTTCATAAGCGTACACACAGAGCAGGATAAAGTACAAAGCTTTGCCTCCCCACCGTGCGCATGTGCATGCTTCTTTTCTCTCTCTCTCTTCTTCAACACAGCCTCTCTCTCTCTCTCTCTTCTCAGTGCAAACCGTTATGGTTAGCGGGCCAGCGGAACTACAGAGGTTGGCAGTGGCTGAAAACTCAGTCAAGATTCGTGTGCCATCTCCTGCTTTCCTCCCGACACGACGTACTGAGGGCCCATGTGGAAGGGAGGGCAGCCTGACATGGTCAGCAATGAAACTCGAGATCTCGTGATAGAAACAAGGGCGCATGCGGGAACGAGCTCTTATGGCATTTCAACCTCACCATGAGACTTAATGAACTACTCATCCTGCAGACAAGCAACTCTGGCATGCTCGCTCCCCACAGGCTCGCCTCGATGTATCGGGCACTGACCCGATTGTGCTGCTGATCTTTTTTTTGCCCATGCAGGTGGCGGCTCTCATGCCCAACGAGCAAGGCGACGACAGGAGCAGGAGAGAACAGATTGCAGCGTCAGCGTTGCAGAAGCATCTTTGCGGCCCATGGTGCTGCTGCGCCGGCCGCGATGCCGCGTCACAATTCAAGTCTTCCACTACCCTCCTCGGAAAAAGCAAACAGCGCGGCAAGAAAGCAGTCGCTTTTGGGGGGAGGCCCGACTTCTCGAAACGCTTTGTCTTCCCGTCACTCTTCAAATGGACCCTGCCCAAAATCACCCCTGCTCGTTAATGCTCCACTGACGTCTCGCAAGATGATGCACACAATCTGGCAAAAACACATGAAGACTTGCGTCTTCTCCATCTCGAAGTCGGTCCATGAGCACCAAACATCTCGCGACTGGACACCACCACCACACTTCTGGCCTCGTTACCATGTTGGGTGAAGGACTGAAGAGTACATCGAGCCCGCCGAAAACACTCTGGAAATGGAAAAGCCAGTGTCCCGACACGGCCTAGAGAAGCAACTTAGCGCAGCGATCACTCTTAGTCTTAGTCTTCGGGGTCGATGGCATCGATGGCGTCACATGTATGTGCATCGGGGTGTCTCGGTTTCACACTACTTCTCGATTTGGACAGCAAGCTTCTTGTATTGGGCTTCCCTCAGAGACCGAACTTTAGCACTCGCGCTCGAACCGATGTTGAAGATGACACCGGGCGGAGCCACAGCTGACAAGGCAGGGCATTCCCTGCACTGCTGTCGTGCGAGTCCTCTACGTGCCAGCTGCAGAATGCCATAGCAGCACGTTAAGGGCGCCACTGCACGGGCCCCATGCATCACCTTGGCTCTCTCACAGCTGATGGCCCTGACTGATGCAAGGGCTGCTGCACTTGCTGCCAGCTGTATGAGATGTGTATGATGGCATCCCGACATGGTATCATGTCGCATCGTAATTTTCGTCATCATCAGTAAGATCAAGATCGGGTTGAAAAGTTGTCAGGTCGGAGCGCATATGGTTGTGTGGGTCGACGGTGTAAAGTATGTGCACTCGCTTGGCGCAAACATCTTGAGCGCATTTGCCGTGAGAGATGGTGATGATTGTGGGGCCGGGAGGAGGGGTAGGGTGGTGGGACGAGGGGGGGTCTCTCTCTGCCCAGTGGATGTTCGCCTTTCTGAAGCAATTCAAACAGAACCCAACAAAGGAATGAGCTGCCGACTGCCAATTACACGTGTAGACTACTGTTGCTGGGGTGGCAGGCCTGTCAGGCGGATTGCTGGACCTCCTACACCATCCCCCGAAGACCGTTACCCTCCAAGCGTCTCTGCAATTTACCTACTTCAACAGAGAGGGTTGCCACTGAGACGCTGATATCCCACGCGAAGCTTCCGAGTATTTGCAGGGAGAAGAACTGCATCAACGTGCCAAAGCCTGTCGTCCACGAGACCTGACAAGTTCGAGGCACAGGTCATCAACCGCACCGGCGAGTCTTCTGTGTTTTCTGGTGCTTGTCCGAACCACTGAACAACGCATTGACATGGGACAAGTGTTGGGTTGGCCCGCCGCTGCTACGCCAGCCTCGTTGCGAGCTGCTGCAGAGCGTGAGATGTGGATCAGATGGTCCAGAGCGGCGGTTCCACTCGAGTCGCCTTACACGTGGGCAATCACGTTGCTACGTGGCGTCGTTCGTCCAGAGGACTCTGTCCTGTCGTTCGAGCCTCTTGGGCGCAGGCCCAAGCCATCCGACACCAGCAGCTCTGCTCGCAATGACGCTGTATTGCAGCACTCGACTTTTCCAATGCCTGCAGCTGAAAGCTGGGCCGTCGATGAGTCTGCTTGTACTCGGTTTGGCTCATGGCTCTGTGTGATCGAAGGCTTCTCGTAGCCGAGGCCAACTTAAAATCTGAGGCATGCACTCATCCTGGAAGTAGCGAGGCCGGCAGCCTGTAGCTAAAGTTATGCGTCGGCGAAGCATCAGCAGGTGCCTTCTCGGTGGCTCAGGCTTGGACATCAGCCAGCTGCTCATGGCAGTCGCGTTCGAAGGCTGGCTCCTGCTCTGGGGAGAAACGGAAGCCCAAACATTTCTGGCCCCCAATTGTCTTCAAACAGTTCTTCGTAAATGCAGATGTGTCGGAACCCTCAGACTCCTGAAGGCCAGGTACCTCGGCAGGCACAGGCACAAAAAGTGAAACATCATAGACTTCAATAGCTGCAACCAGTTGTTGGCCCATTTATGACAAGGTCCTTGTTGTGTTGCAAAGCCATGTTTGAGTTTAAGGGCTTGCGCAACATCCGATCAGACTGACAGCGCAACAGAACATCGTCACGACCGGTCACAGCGCTATAATTGCAGCAAATAGCCCACCTAGAAAACGCCAACTGTCGCTGCCTGCCTTCGCACGGTGCATGGCATTAAAATGGAAATTTGGCTGACGACACTCTGCATACCATGCCGCCGCAGCTGAAGGTATAGAAAGAGACCCCATGTAACAAATGCGTGGAATTGTCGCCATGGCTGGGCGCGTACTTTTTCAGGGGAAAGCCATGAACACATGCGGGTTGCCGTGCCGTTTAGGATTTTTGTTTGGGTGCAGGTGCCAATGAATCTACCACCGCTTGGCATTGCAGACCATCCACGAGCTTCCATCATTCCACAGGCTTACGCTACGCATGTTTGGTGTTAGGAAGGAAGACCTCCTTCGGAAACTCTTGGGTCTGCACTCTTAGCAGGGTCTGCAATTTCCTGCATATCCCCACCCCCCGGTCCGCGCGCAGTGTCCATCATGCAAAAAAAAACTTTTCACCGCAACGCTCGCTCGCTGTGAAGTATCGCCGGCGTACCCCAACATGTAGATGATCTCCGAGTCATTTCTCTACCTCTGCTCGATGTCCTCGGTGGCACGGCGACACAAACTACAAGTTGGGACGGCTGACTGAAAAGTGACGCACGTGGCGACTTGTCTGCATTTTCTTGAGAATGGGATGGGTGGGATTTGGCAACTGCTGGATGAAACGAACCGTCCCGAATCCCAGCCCTCTTTCCGTTGATGGCAGCTACCAGCTCTTCGACCTACTTTGGTGACCGCCTTCTTTCCATGCAGTGTAACCATCAACAAATCCACAACCGAGTCCTCTGCTGGATGGTCCAGGTTGAACTCGGCTGTTGCCTTCAGCACCTTGTATGCATCTGATCACGGTGGCAACGAATATACTGAATCGGTTTCCTCGTGCTCCTATCACCTGTCCTGCATACGACCTCGACCAAAGGTTGTCAGACCAAAGCTCCTCCCGAATATCTTGCAACTCTCTCATTCGCAGTCCTGTCTTAATCTACCCATATTTCGTCTGGAAGACTCGGCGGCCACAGTCATTGCACCTTTGCTGCAGGGAAGTTGCTTGGCGACCCGGAAATCTGAACAAGTAGTATCCTAATCCACAAGAGTCTAGTGGTTTTCTTAACTCACGGCATCTCACGGCTCGACGTTTCTCCATTACCTCAACGTACCAAGGTGCTCTTCTCGCGCATCTGGACGAGCACGCAGGCACAGTGAGTTTGCAACAACCTGCTCCAGCATTTCGTGACTGTGGTCATCTGGGAATCTGTGACACTGCGACAGTGGCCTCACGGCGGGAAGTCTCGTGCACATTGGCCCGGACGCAGAAAACTGATCGTTCCCTGTGTCTCGCCTTTGGCGAGTTGTGCACATCTCGATTGCAGTGCGGGCTGCCTCGCAGTAAAGTTACACGCCTGATGACTGTCTCTCAGCCCGTCGCTCCGTAGCAGTCTCCGTGGTGGACCGTATGGCATGGACCCCATTCCTCGACCTGTCTGCGCATCACATCTTCGACCAATCGAGGGCCTCTTACACAGGACCTGGACACAGCGTACCAGTTGTAACCTCACTCCGTGTCTCCAATGCCGTTCCAGTGTGCAATCGCCCGCGGGCCTCCCATCGTAGCTCTTCAGATGGTGGGCAAGAGCAAAGTTCAGCCATTTCCTGCGAAGCCATCATGGACACCTGCCGAAGCGGGGCAATGCTTCTCCAAAAGCTCAGCCCCATGCTCCGGTACGCAGGTGCAGTTCTACAGTAAGTCTTTTGCGTTGCCGCTACATGCTGTACTCATGACTCATGACGACGCAGCAGCATGGCGAACACCAGCCCGGAAACAAGGGGTAAGCTGAGTGCGAGCACTTTGTGGCTTGGATCTGATGCATTGACTGCATCGACCAGCTGGTTCAGCCAAAGCCTTGTGGAATTAGCCATCCAATCACAAGATAAGTCCAGAGAATACGCTTTGCTGAGCCAACCACTGGGATGTGGATTTCTGCCACACGCAACCCGAGGGCATGTCCATGCGAAGCCTTAGTTTAAGCAGCAGCTGACATGCACGCTTGGCTTTGATTCAGGACGTGAACTGCGACTCACCCCTCCAGGTTCTTTTGACACAGGTTGCTTTTTTTGCGCGTCTGGATATGTGCCCTCGGCAGCCAATTGGCAGCTCGCCTCTGACGGGCCCTCGTTGCGCCCTGCGTTCTTGCCCTGCGCTCCGCAGCGCTCTGCTCGACGCTTCTTTGAGTGCCTCTGCGCGCACCCCTGCGCGCCTCTGCACGATGCGCCTGAGTCCCAGAAGATGTCTCCAGGCTCGCAAAATTGGTGGAAAAGTCCGGCCACAAGGAGAGGGCCGAAGTCCGAATTCCATGCAAACCTATATGGCCCGGCTCGTTGTGGCTCCATGCACTTCGCGGCCCACGCCCGCTACAGTACGCCCTGAATCGCGTTGAGGCATCAAGATGCCGCGCCGAAGCGCTTTTCTGATGTCCTTGCTGCTTCGAGGCGGCCCGCGATCTGCTCTGCCAGGGCTTTGCCCCACCACTCGTAGCCGAAGGCACTCGGGTGCATCAGGTCTTTGGAGAAGAAAGCCTCCCACGGAGCCAAAAGATGCAAGTAGTTTGTGGAAGGAGGGGGAGGGGCAGCATGGGCAGCACAGCGCCTCTGCTGCGATGTCACTGGGCGGATCCGGGAAGGGCAGCACCTGCAGAGCCCCAAACTCGAGAGGCTTCCTGCTCACGTTGCCCCTCGAAGCTGCCTGTGCACCACGGCACCAAGCGATGGCCTCCCGATCCCAGAAGCAGCGAAGCGGCCAAGACAAAGCAAGGAGCGAGTCCTTGCGCTTCTCGCGCTCCCAAAGCAAGCAGAGGGGTGTCAGGAAGAGCTTCAGCGGATAAACTTGGAGCCTCCCAAAAGGCGATGCCCCCGAGGCGCTGCCCTCGCGCCGCGTCTCTGCTGGGCTCCGGACATGGGAGCATCACAGACAGCCACGGCGGGCAGGAAGATGCCCTCGACCTCACATCAGTCGCATGTGGAGGCTCACAAAGGTCATAGGCATGGCCGTACGAAGTCCAGGCTCAGGCATTCTGCAAGCGGCTGAGGGCATCTTGCACAAGCCGGCGCAGGCGTAGCCGATAGCCGAGCCTCTGGCTGTGCACTTGCACGTCCCGACTGGTATCACAGAGATGCATGATGCCCTCTAACCGAAGTCACCTGAGCCGGCGCAAATCGTTGACACCAACGACGAGGATGACGAAAACGGCCCCATCGGCAGCCTCTGCCAGCTCACGCAGCCTGTGGGATCGGATAAGTCGCATGTCGCCACCTCAGCACCTGCGTGCCTGGCATGCCTGGGAAGCCCCTCGTGGCTGAGGCGCTCGACATCCGCACCGGTGATGCCCACAGAGGCCTTGCCCGTGTGAAGCGACAAGTGGGCCACAAAATGACAAAGCATACTTGCACGGCTCAGGCAGGGGCCCAGCTCACCTCACAGGCGAAAGCTAAAGCCCCCGGATCGAGACTGGACGCATTCTCTTGGCCTCCCCCAAGTGTTGGGCCAAATGGGCCGCTACATTCCTCTCCCGACAAGCCGAAACAAAGACTTGCTGCTCTGGCTGAACTCGCACAGCCCTCCTGGGCAATGCCGCAGGCACTGGCTCCCCGCTGGCCTTCACGGTGACAGCTCCACACCCGCCACGTGCATACCAGGAGGCAGAGGTGGCCTGGCCACCCACGCCGCTGACCAGGGAGTCCCCGAGGAAAAGCAATAGCAACGGCCTGACCGAAACCCAAGACAGCGAACTTCCAGGATGCAATGATTGCTTGGTCTTTAATTGGCTCGCATAAATCATGAATTTATCATTACAGAACAGCTCAGGAATGTGGCTCTGCTCGAAAAGCAAAAGGCTTCATTCATTCTTTTGACCACACGGGCTCGACGATGAGCTTCAGTAACTCCACTTCCCCACAGCCTGCGGCAGGTGCTGCAGGCATCACCTGTAAGGAAGGCACTGTGCATCGACACGTCCAGACAAGAGTTGAAAAAAACTTCCAAGGCTGTTCTTTTAGCCTCGTCGGGCATGACACCCTGTGGCACGGGCTTTTCGGTCGCCGCTTATCTATGCATCCTTAGCGCCTGACCGGGCGCTTTGCGGCCGGAGAGACGCGCTGGTGCACCGCCGCACCCTCTGTTTAAAAAGACGCGGACTTCTAAAGTTCTCAGCCTACTATCTGCTACCGTGCTCAGACCTGCACGTTCAAAAACATCCGCAGGTCCTCGCAGGCACACAAGACAGCACAAGTTTGGAGATGAGTTGACCAAGGCGGCGGACGGGACTGGCATCCTTCTTGGTCCTTGACACCGAGGAAGGCTTTGCATACATCGTAAAGAAAGAACTGGCCGCTGATGATGCAGGCCGCCCAGACGCTGCGCGATCCCAAACCAGCAAAGAAGCCTCAGGGGCGCAGCTAGCATGAAGCTTCAAGGATGTTCGAGGAGCACGCGAGGGAGCGGTCGATCAGCGAGCCTTGAAGGCCCTGCTCCTCCCAGATCTCCTTCCCGGTGTCGAAGAAGAAAGCTCGGCCTCCAGTCCTGAAGCTTCAACTACCCACTGCTCATGCTCTTTCGAAAGGAAGTGGTTTTCTCTAGGCGTGCAGGACAAGGAACGTCTGATTCATCCTCGTGAGGATGGTATCGGCAGGCTGGGACACGATGGAGGCAGTGAGGCCTGCGACGGCTCCAGACAGCAGCGAGACGAGGAGTTGCGTCTCAGTCTGGTTCGCCAGGAAGGGAAACAAGTCGAAGACGAAGTCCGCAAAGTAGTCGAACACAAGGAACTTCATCATGCCGAAAAGGACCTGCCTTATCAGCAGCGTCTGGAATCCGTCGAAAAGGGTGCCAAGACCACCTGCTTCTGCTGAAATGACATCCAAGACCTGCAGGGTCCCACTGTTCATTGGTGTCAAACCTCGAACCCCTAAAACGATTGCCGCTCTGATCTCTAGATTTCCGACTGGTGCTATTGTAAGTAGCACCTCTGGCAGGCTGCGGCGCTCCTCGCCGCAGACCTGGCGGATGCGGCAGGCTTCGGCGGGGCAGACGCCGATGCAGGCGAAGATGGTGGCCGTTGCACCGGCCAGAAGTACTAAGAAGACCTTCAGATCCTCTATGGGGCACAAGGAGACGTAGAGGCGCTTGAAAAACTCGTAGCCCGGGTACACGGTCACGCCGTACCATAAATAGCCCAATACAGTGGGCTCCCACCCAGCCAACAAAGCACCAGCACCTTCCGTCCTTTGGATGCGCAGCGCGAAGGATAGGAGCCCTTCCTCTTCCTCCGATGCTTCCGAAGCCTTGGCCGACTTGGCCGCCTGAAGCCGAGTCTTCACCACGTCCAGAGGGATAACAAGAGAGTGGGTCACCGAGCAACCCAAAGCCCCTGACAAAGCGAAGAGCCTGTAGTCGTTTAGTGTCAGTGGACGCTCCTTGCCAACATGCCGATAATGTAACTGTTAATTACTTCGTGCTCTTAGTTTATCACTGCTGGTCTGCGCCCTGCTCCTTGACCACGACCTCGGCACCGCGCACGCCAAAGACGCTCAGAGCGGCGCCGCGGTCGATCTCATCGAAAGCCTCTTTCAAAAACACACAAGTTGCAGCAACCCCTTTGAAACCAGTATTTACCATCGAGTGCCGGACGCTGCGGTAGGGCTGCGCCGCCTGCAAGCCAGGAATTACCCAGCGGTTTCGGCCGCCGTCCCAGACCTTCAGGCGCCCGCCAGAACGTTTGGCAAAACCATCGACTAGACTAGACCGCAGCCGTCGCACCGGGTACTGCGTGTCGGGGAGGAGGCGCGAAGGGTCCATGGCCAAGTAGTCAGGCAGAGCAGGTGAGAACACGGCCTGGAAACAACGGCTAACGGGCGGTTGTGCAACGATGTGACTTGGCAGTGCACCTCGCCTGGAGCCGGGTATCTAGACCAAGGCTAGCCAAGAGCTCACTGAGGAGCTCTAAGGGCTGGTCTTCGAGTAGGCAGAAGGCCAAGGCCAGTTGCCGCCGCCGCTCCGGTGTGCTGCCGTATCTCGCACCAAAAACAATGTGTCCAACTTCATCTCACGCAACCGTGCAGGCCGCACCTGTCCACCAAACGTTTCAGAAGTCCTCAAACCGAGGAGGGATCACAGCGAGTGCGCGAGAGAGACAGAGGGAGAGACACAGAGAGCGAGCGCGGACACGCCAAAGTGCAGCAGGAACTGAGTCCATGGCCAGACTTCCGCCTGCCTCGTCAGAAGCAGCGAAGCAAATTGCGGCGCTTATCGCTCCTATTCTGGTCAGCCTTCTTCTTGGTAGCGGCGCAGGCCCACTTCCACAGAGGCCGTGAAATCTGCAGGGGAGAACATGCCAGGTAGCAAGCTGGAATCGTAAGCACGAAAATCAGACACCTGTTCTGGCAATGGCGCATGCTGGCGCATGTTTCGGTTAGACATTCCACCTCAAGATTGTTTTAACAGTCGGTCGGTACAGAAGTACTGCCCTTACCCCACGCTTTGGTTGGCCCGCATGCCACAAAGATAGGGACGAAGGGAGCGTGGGGAGCGTAGGGACTGCGGGGCTCATTGTTCCACATTTTGAGGCTCCCGAGAACCGGAAAACCCGAGCAAGCGCCACGGCAATCGTCGCCCGTGCACCGCAAAGATGCTTGAAGGCTAGACTTGTGACTAGTGACCATCATGTCACGAAGATTGAAAAGACTCCACAAACTGGAGACGCCAGAATCTGACCCAATGTGAGCAGCGCCTGCAAAGACATCCCGCAGCTTGGCTGCACGCTTCGTTTTTCGGAGGCTCTCCGATGCTGATCGATCCAAGGTGGCCTCCACGGCTGGCACGACCTCGTCCTTCCGAGAAAAGAGCACAGCAAAGCTCAGCAAAGCGCTGGAGCTGGCTCCTTCCACCAGGTAGCTGAAGCCTGGCGAAACGACACTCTGGCTCTCCTCTCCTCCTTTCATTGCTCTCTGTGAACCGACGTCCTCGTCGTAGTTCAGAAGGATGCGAGCTAAGTAGACAATGAAGTCCACGCTCCATTCTGCGTCTGCCTCACGATCTGAATGGACGCCGTCTACTTTTTGTTGTTTATCCTCTTCGACTCGAGAGATGTGGCAGGCGATGCACCTCAATGCGCTCAAAGATCTCAGCCTTGCAGCACAGGCACACAAGTGCCCAGTTGGTTTCACCGGCGTCTATGCCACTTATGCTATGCACTGCTGCCGACCTGTTGCGGAGCTTCGTCCATAGGCAGCCAGGACAGCCTTACAGTACGAGCGCCACCGGGAGGTTCCATGCAGCAGTTGTCTGCTGGCGAGGCACGACTTGCCACGTGCTGCCTGGGCTGGACGTTCGAAGGGAAATCCAAACGGGCTGAGAGCTGCAAGCCGTGCTGACGCCATGCTGCTGAAGGAGGGCCCAATGCCCCCAGCACTGCCACAGTCACGGCACCACGCCGTGCAAGGGCCCGAAGCTCTTTCGGCTCTTGTTGCCGCATTGGTTCTGCGGGCACCAGGCTTGCATCCTCGCTGCTGGATGGCCCCTCCTCAGAGAAGAAACGGTGTGCCATCACTCTTCAACTCGAATTCGGCTCAGGCCGAGGCCGCGTGGACTGCATGGCATCTATTCCATGTCCGGGGGCGGCAGCGCCTCAGAACGCAACAAAGACAGACTGAAGATGCAAGAGTCTGGCCCTGCATGCCTCCTCAACCGGCTGCCGAGCATCCTGCACAAAACTACGCTGGAAGCGACAACTTAGTGCTTTCGTCAGTTTTCTTGCCGTTCCTGCTGGCAGGCAGCGCTACTAAGGCCGTCATCGGCAGGGCGCCCGACCAGGCGGCACCTCCCACCTGAAAGCAACTTTCAAGCAACAGTGTCATAGGCCCGCGTGCTACACATGTCCATGGCGTCTGAGTTCGTGTCTGGCGTACACCGAGCTCCAGGAGCATCCGACTTGGGCTCCCGAAGTTCGCACGCATGGCCTGGCGAAACCCATTGCGTCGACGCGGACGCCAATTGGGAACGCATGGCACAAGACGTCAAATTGCATGATACGAAGCCCAACGAAGACCACCCGGGCGCCTGCAATTGCCGGCAAGACCTGGAAGTCCGATACTGCGCTTGCTTTCCGCAACCATTTGGGCTGTTCGAACGCTCCCGCCTCCATCCTGCGCCCGATGTGCCACGCTTGGGCCACACATGGCCACTCGGGAGCCGGAATGGCGATGCGAACATGCTTCAAGACTCTAAGCCTTGTCGACCCTGAACACTTGCATCCAGACCGAAGCAGAGGTGCAGTGCTCGACGGTCCAGGAAGTCAATGCGCAAAAGCCTCGCGCCCCCCTGGCCTGACTGCTGCCGCTGCTCCTTGCCCTCGCTGGGACCGAGGCAGGCCGAGGCTTGGCAGCGGAGGCTTTGCCACTGCGACCGCAGCTCCACAGCCTACCGGGATCATCCCGACATGCAGCAAGTGCTAGTTGCATCTTTTTGGCACAAACGTGGAAGAAGGCAATCCGGAATTCGAACGCTTCTCTCAAAGTCAGCTTGCCTGCTTTGCGGCGAATCCAGCGCCTAAAGCCGAGGCGCCAGCCAGAACCTTGACCCAGGCGCCTCAGCGAAAATGGGAAGCATCGTAATAGAAAGGCAGAGCACATAGTAACAGGATGGTTCTGGGTGCCTGGCGGCAGTGCTTCAAGGGGGCCACTGCTGCCATGGCTGCGACTGTGCTCGAGCCCAACTACAGCAGGAGCTGCGGCCGTCCCTGTGCCTCTGCACATTCTTTGGAGCGGGCTTCCCCAATGCGCCGGCTCCGGGCGCCAAGATTGTGCTCCCGGGTCAAGGGTCATTAGCACGGAAGCGCCGCATTCGTACATCGATGTATCGCGTGTAGAAACTTGTTTTGTTACTTGTTGTCGCGGCAGGAAAGACTCAGGCAACCGTACGCCTCCAACAACTGTTTCCCCTCGATTAATTAAGGGTGGCAGGGTATATTCCTGTCGTATTCTGGGCCGTGCCGGCCCAGAGCTTGCCATCTGGCATGTAGCCGTAGGTCCGGCTTGTTCGCTCTGATGTGCCTCGTCCTGCTTGATCGTTTGCATGTGAGGTTTTTTTTTGAAGCTCGGGGGCGAAGGGCCGAGGCAAATCTCATCCAATACCATGAGCTGTAATTCTTCTCACAGAAAGGCTGCAACATCATGTGCAGACAATCTTCTGAACAATCGGACTTGACGTACTATGACGTACTTGACCCAGTGAAAGGGATGACGTAATTGTCAGGGTGTTTAAGTTGGCAGATGTCACTGAATGGTCGTGGCATGTCGTGGCCCCAGGCAGCGCTTGCGACGGCTGCGACCCCTTGTGCCTGAATTGGCAACCACCCCCGGTTATCGGACTGAACATGTGGCAAGCAGCGTTAGGGACGGAGTGGTGTCTGGCAGTCCGAGCACCGTCGCGATTTGATTGCATTCCTCGGCACAGCATGAAGGTTGTCAAGGCACGGCTCGGACTTTGCAGCGGCACAGAGCCCGTTCGTGGCATCCCATTGTCATATCTTCCCTGCCTTTAACTACAGACAAGCTGCAGATATGCCTCTTGCAGATGCACAGTTTCGACCAGCGAGTTGCTGATGCGAGCCTCACTCGACAGGGTACTTTCCACATCTTTTGCATGCGAGGGTCTCAGATCGAGGATGCGATGCGGCCGTGTCTCAGCTTTGCCCAAAACTCAGGCTCGAGCGACAAGTCTGGTCTGAAACTGCTGCCACACCAGCAAGATCACAGACATCTGAGTGTTTCTGGTGAATGCGCCTCGCGTGCGAGTTAGTTTCGTCTCGGCGCAGAACGATTGCAAAAGCTATCATGCAGCCAGCAAACTGCGTACCACAGCTTGGTGACGTCGTTGGACACCAGGATCTAGCTCCACTGTCTGGCGTTGTGCAACAGCCTCGCCTCTGCCCGTCGCAAACCATGCTGTCGTCACCTGGGTCCATTTCCCAACCCACCTGGCAGTAGCAACCATTCCGTGTCGGCGATCCTTGCGCCAGATGGCAAGTAGCTCTCCGGAAGTTGGGCTGCCAGCGAGATGCACGCCGCAAAAAGCAACACTGAGCGCTGTTGGGATCACCCCGGACATGTGTGAAAAAGGTGAATCCAACACAGTTCCCCAGTCGCGCGCACATCACGCGGCACAATTCCCAAGCTACTTCTGGATCCATGGCAACATCCACGTCGATTGGCATCCCAATAAGCTTTGGAACCTTGCAGGGCTCAATAGTTCGCATTGCCTGCCGTTCCGCCACAACATGCAAGCTACTCATGCCAAGATGCAATGGAACTGGCCACCGCCGCCACAGAAGAGGCATTCATAGCAACGCAGTGCGGCCCTGCCGTGCCATTGCTAGGCCTGACAGTGGCACCATGTGTCTCACTGCTTCGCATGCTCTCCGCTGGGACAGACAAGCCTTGCAATTTCAAGTATAAGTTTCGAGGGTTCTAGGCTTGCGGCTCAACCAGCCACGCGCCCTCGTGCACCTCCGAGGTCATCAGCAAACGATTGGTTCCGGCACAGCCTGCACGAAAGTGAGTTGCACATCAGCATGGCCGTATGCCCTGACGTCTCCCAGCGCCGATCCAGAAACAGGCACTCACATCAGAACTGCAGGTGACCAACCCTGAACCTGTGATCCCAAGTCAAGCCGTTTTACCCTCAGCTTTCCACGAATGTCGCACCCGAAACCTAGCAGGTCGAATAAAGTTGGTCGAACTTTTGAGGTTTCGTGTCCATCTGAGGAAGTCATCTACCAGTGAAGCTGTTCAAGTCAAAGTTCTGGACCCTGCCGAATTTCACTACGACATGCTGCAAAGGAAGTTAGGCTCAACGGCTACGAATAGCAATCAGAAATAATTTGAAATAACAGGAACACACACAGGGTCACGCCACTCATGCACTGCTGAGACGTACGTCGCAGCGGCTGGAACTGTGGCAGGAACCCTCCCAGTCTTCCCCAAAAGGCCCCTATATCCCAAAGCATAGCCTCACTATGCCACAGGCTGGGAACATGTCTGCGACGACCCCGATCCGTTTTGACATGGCGACAGGCCCCACCGAAACAGAGGCAGTGCGTGGCTGCAACTTGGTGAATATGCACGGCTGTCTGCACTTACTGCAAAGGCAAGATTTCCTGAAACAACACAGGTGTCATGAAATAAACGCCGTAGTAATAGAACGTTTAGCATCACGACTAGAAATACGAACAACCTATTCTCAATCTGTGCCATGTTGGCGGTGGCGTGCCTGACGACATTTCACACGACAGTGACTTGCCGAAGCTTCGAAGTGGCTTGACAAAGACCCTCTGACACCGAATGTGCCGCAATACACCGCATCCAAGTATACCAGCCGCGCCACCAACTTAAACACCGAGTGGCGCGTGTTCTCTTCCACAGCCCAACAAACTTGCGTGGAACCTCAGGCTTTGAGCGAACCCTCGTCTCGATGTCTAGGTTCACTCAAAGTCGCACCCGCTCGATTTCGTAGACTTCTGCCAAGTCACATGGCTCAGAAGAGTGGGGCTCCTCGGAATGGAGCATCCATAAACGCAAAAACTTCAAATCAGACCAGCGGCGCTGAAGCATGCGCATCGCCGGCATCTTGACAATCAGTATCTGCTAGCCACCACAACAACAAGCGCTCTGTTTCTTTTTCACATGTTTTTGGCTAAGCCTGCCCTTTAAATGCAAGGAATCTGGCCCGGTTCCAGCCTCCAGGTTTGCCTGGCGGCAGTGGAGGGGTTCAACCTCACGGCTTCCTGTAGCACCTGCGATTGGGCTCCGACACCAATTCGCGGCAATCATCTCTGCATCCATACTAATTATCGCTCAGGGCACTAGCAATCATGAAATAATCATGAGCAGTAGCAGGCTGAATAACAGCATGCCAAAACATGGCTGTCCGCACGCAGACCTTCAGCTTTGAATGTTTCAACACGCAAACACACACACACACAAGTTGATCGACTGATGACTGTGCGCATGCTGCAATGCTACTTCAAGATGCCCTTCCGAGTGCAGGTGCGTGTTTCTGCCAGTGCTAGTGGCCCTCTTTGTCTATGGACGAGGACAGTACACACACACATATATATATATATACATATGTATATACACAGCCATGTGCATCAATAGCCTATCAAAGATGGGCTAGGCGCTGCTTATTCGAATGTGCAAAGGATGCAAAGGGCTGTTCGTGATACAGGCATGTGCCCTTTGCTGTGGCCTGAGAAGTCGGCACCGTCTGCATGCAGGGCAATCCCAATCAGCTCGTGGCACACCACACGACGGTATCTCATCTGCTGTCCTTTCTTTGGCGGACAGGCTTGAATTGAGGCTTTGCAAGGCGATGTCATGGAGATGGCAGGTGCAACAGGACCCCAATAGGCTCACAAAACTCCTGCCGAGCAGCCACAAGATCTGCTGCAGGCGCTCCAATCGCCTTGCGACCATGTGTAAATCCGGCTCGGCCGAGGCTCACCGCAACGGCACAGCTGCGGAATCCGCTCCGTAGCTTCGGCACCTCGCCCAAGGATTTTGTTCAGCCACAGGACGGGGAAGCCATTGTCAGCCGTCGCAAATTCCCAAGAGCAAAATAGGGGAAGATTGTCGGAGAGACGCAATTGTGCAGATGCAGCCGAACCACCACTGCCAGTGAAGCCCATAGCAGCTGCAGCTCGCTCACACTCCTCTCGACCCTCTATCGGGGAACACCGAACATCTTCACAGAAACCGGCCATCACCAGGGCCAAGCCGGGTGATTCTTCTGTTGTGGTGCAGGGAGACGGTGGCGGAATTGCATCGTCGGGACAGCTGCCAGGCACACAGCATCGACCGAATACCCCTTCTGATGCATCTGGACACGTGAGGTGCGTCGTTGAGGCACGGCACATCTCTTCGGTTGTACCCAGCAGCATGAGATCCAAGGAGCAGCTTTGACTGCCCTGCTGGGCCTGATCCAATGAAACCAAAGTGGGCACACCCTGTGCCACACCGAAGGCTGGGCTCTGTTCGCCTCCATGGTAAGGATCCGCCAGCACATACCCTGCCGCCGCCACCCGCTTCAAGTGGAAAGTCGCTTGCATGCGAAACTGAAAAGTGCCATCATCCTGGGACAGCATCAGGTCCTGGAAGCTTCGGAAATGCTCAGAGAACCTCCGCACCACATATTTGCCTGTGCTGCAACTGACCAGTGAAACACAAGCCTTGGCTGCAAAGAGTTTCTTCAATGACTTGCCAGCGATCTTCATAGCACGGTCAGCAAGTTTCTCGCTGCGAGGCAAGATTCCATCGACAACGCCAAGTCTGCGGGAAGTACACTGAAGGTGGCGCTGCAGCTTACCTCCGCTTCCCCGCGGCGAAGCCTGAGTGCACAAAGAGTGCTCGGAATCCAAGCTTCCGACCACAAGCAGAAGCTGCTTCGCGGTCATCAGATTTGTGGGTTCGCGTTCCGGCTCATTGCACGAGCAAGAAGACGGGAAATATGCGTTCAGGTTTTGGGCCCCAGCATAAGATGTCCGGAGTCCGGACTCCGACATCACGGTACAGCACTCCGCAAGCGGAGGCGGTTGCGTTTATGAAACAAGGAAAACCGTTTCGCAGTGCGAGACATGAACAACTCCAGAGAAACCTGAGTTGCAGTGGCCGCCCAGTGTCGTCCACGAAGACCGAGTCAGAATTGGAGTACATCACAATGGCCTCAGACTCTAGCACCCAGCTGTGTGAAGGACTTGCCACTTGCCAGAGTTGACATCGCTTCTCCCTGTCTCCGTGACAAGCTGCACTCCAATTCATTTCGGCATCTTGTCGATCCAGAATTAAGTGTGCAATTGAAAAGCAGTCATCACCTGAGCTCTTGCACTGCAGACATGGTGACTTGTAACGTCCGTCAAGTGCTTTGTTCTTACCATCCCGAGCATTTATTCAGTACGCAGAAACGATTTTGCTCATTACGTGCTTTGGCGGCATCAGATGCTCCAATGTTTAATTGAGACACAAGCTTCCGGCGGAATGCACTCGGGAGCCTGCCGGATCTCAGATCAAGAACCGGCAAACCTATTGAAGACTGCGCGCTGTCCCTCCTTTCGCGGCTTGCCACCTACACCTTACAACAAAACGTGGAGGCCTCCTGACACGACCGTACGGAATCAGGAGCTGGCTCTGCGCAACGCTCGCCACCATCACCCACATCGTCTGGATCAAAAACCCTGCATCGCACCTGCTTACAGAGCTTCGCAGGCAGAGTTCGTTTTGACGGTCCAGAGATGGAAAACAGCGACTCGGACAAAGGTGACAAAGCGTAACACTGCCCAACGAATGTGGCATCTGTATCTCTGGCAAGGGGCAGATCGATTGGTCGTTGCAGCTGGTGTAACACAGTCCGCTTGATCGCACCTTCCCCAATCTCCCGTCACCCAAGAAGCGCTGGCCTGGGCCGGGCGAACGCCAGTGGAACCTAAACTGGCCGAGAGCTCCTGGCCTGTGGCTCGAAAGTCATGCGCACAAGGGCGCCATACCTTCGCTGATGCTACAGCTTGCTGTCTCTAGCTGGGGCGTTTGCCTCTGGGGAACTTCGCATCAAGTCCCGAGAGAAGTTCACTGTAGCAGTCCACATCACCCCGCGTGCTGACCGCGCACTTGCAAGTGTCACCTGGGCATACTGCTACAATTAAAGCTACTTCTTTCATCTGGCACCGGCAGGACCAGAGTGAGGTTGACCGTTAACCAGCAAGTCACGGGTGCGGAATGCCTGCACCTCAACACGGACTTCAGAATCGACAACACGGCCAAAATTGATGTTTCCACACTCCTCGAATGCAGCACAAGACACATGCACGTTCACGGAGGCATTTGCACAAGCGAACTGACGACATCTCTTGCAGGCCAGGATCTATCAAAGAGCAGTTGTAGTCGGAAGCGACTTTCGGGCTGCAGGTCACACTCTGTCCTCCTACCTCAGCTGACATAGATCACATAGGCTGCGGCTAGGTCTTAGCGTGAGACTTAGTCTTAATTGGGTCGTCTGGCTGACCCTACAGAAGACTTCTGTGGAAGCCTCTCACTACAAATGGAGTGAGCGAGGGAGCGTGCCTTCACGTTGACATGCTCATCTTTGGAATGCATGTCCACTTGCGCCACCTCAACTTTCACCTGACGACGAGAAGAGCTGCTGGGACGAGCTGGAGGCAGTCTGTGGATCTGCGGGTATTGGCAGATTCGCACTGGCAGAGCAACTCTCAGGAGGCAAGGCTGCTCGTTGTTCTCAGCTATGTTTGATTGACTTCGCCTTGTAGAACACGTTGGGAGGAACCACAACATCGCGCTTCTCCACGCAGCTCGGCTCGCAGCTACCCTCATGGCCAACCACACCAACGAGGGTCCGATACCTGGCATCCCGTGGAAAGCAGCTTTGGCTTCCGTGCGCGATGTGAGGCCCATGAGTGCTTGTAACGCGCCTCTCTTCACCGTCCCTCCAGAGAACGAGTTTGGCGGAAGAAACGTGCTCGCACACCAATGCCACCAGCAGCCAGATAAGCACCACTGATCGGGAAGAAGCCTCCGGAGCATGCATTGCGGATTCGGTTTGGCAAGGGCAAACACCTGCAACGATGCCTGTAGGCATGACAACAATCAAGCTCTAACATGGGCTCACTGGCTTCAACAAAACTGCCGCCAAACATGGTTGGATATGACTGGCCGCGGAACCACGGAACTCATGGCCAGCGCCGGCCATGCTCTGCCATTGAGGCACTTTGTGTTGTCCTGCGTCCCAAGCCAGATGCTAAGCGTGTGCGCCACGTGCGAAAGCGGAAGGACGACTCAAGCCAAGCCACGTGGGGGCGTGGGATCACACCCGAGAAAGTTGTGAAACGAGTAACCTGCTATAGGGTCCTGTTGAAGCCCGAATGCCGGCAGAGTCTCAAAACATGCTCTCGAAGGCTGCTGGCAACAACTTGCACAAAGTCAGTTGTTGGTGTTGCCCCTCATGTTCTACACTTAATTATTTCAGGGCGTTCCACCGGACTTGCCCTATCTCCCCACTTGCTCATTCTACCATTGCTCCGCAGCCTAGCGCCTAAACTGTAACATATACCGCAGCAAGCACCATACCAAGACCGATATGAGCTTTTCTGCTTTCTCGAGGAGTGAAGCTCCGCCGAACCGTGGCAGCGCCTTGAATCAGAGGATGGGCGCGAGGTTTAGAGTGAGGCGCATGTTCGCATGACAACCCCACATTTTACAGCATCCTCTCTGGGTTGACCTTTCGCCCGAGGCTATGTAGATAGATGGCAGCAGAGAGTACAAGCTCGGCGCTAACGAACGTGT